GAGGACGTCCGCCCGCATACTGAGGGTGTCTCCGTCTTACAAATGCACGAAGTAGAAAATTTGTGTTCAGCAGGGACAACTCGCAGTTATTTTAAATATTAGAATGGATTGATTCACTATCAAAATTAAAAAGACGCCCTACTGTCCTAGGATAATGGGGTCGGATGCAGTCACTGTTATAAGTAATTTAATGTATACCTGTAAGCAAAGATAAACCATTGCTAAGGAAAAAACGATTCTGAGCGGAGATCAATTGTGATGCTTTGTCAACAATATGCCATATTATGGTAAAATAATAAAATAGGCATTATATATTTTCTTTAATAATATTTGTTTAATGTACCAATTTTCCCGTTTTTCCTCCTTTTTTTTTCCGGTTTTTGACATTTGATGTGAAAAATCTTGAGAAAATCAAAAAAATGTAAAATTACTTATGTTTTTAAAAAAATGAATTCCTAACTTAAGTTGTTGATTTCCTGAAAATTTGTGACTTACTTTTAGCTAAATGTAAAATAATTTATATTTTAAAATTAACTTTAATTCGACTTAATTATTCTGTTTGTTTTAGGATAGGTACCTTGACTTAGACTAATTGAAAAAAAAAATCGGTAAACTTCCCCGGCCAAAAACAATTGGATACCGTTGCGGTGTAAAACAACAACAATTTGTGTATTGGCAATCGCTTTTAGAAGTGATTGGTAATATTGGCACTATAAGACCAACGGAAGAAAATCGTTTCATACGACTACGTTACACACGATAATACACACGATGATTTTAAAACCTGATTACACGCATACCTACCTATAGTATTTACTGCAGTGATAGTTTATGTATTTTTTTTTTTCTGTTAAATCACATAAAGACCATATGGTATTATATATTATAGGCACAAAGTAGTAAGTAAGTATACAAACATTTAACCGTTTATAGCGAAGATGGAGAGGAGGAGGGGAAAATACATACGCACTTTGTGTTGCCCGTCATCGGAGATCTTACGCACGAGTGTCTATATATATATATATATAGGTATATAATATAGTCCTGCGCCACAATGAGATTCATTCATTGTTCCATCTGCATTTACGATGTCCGAGTCACTTCGAGACACCTGAATCCCCGGCCGTCCACGAGATAAATCGCGTTTTTTGCGCCGCTGCCGCCGCTGCAAAAAGAAAATGAAAAAAAAAAAAAAAACGGGTTTATATACTTTCGTCTAGAACAATGCTGCGGGGTGGAAGAACTAACGGGCACGTCGCGTAGGTATACATATTATTATTATTATTATAAATTATAATGCGCACGCGTGTATACAAATAACGTATTATTGCATATCGATAGTATTATCGTGATATCCGGACGCACGAAAAAAATAAAATATATGAATGACATTCCGTGTGTAAAAAAAAAAAAAAATATATGCGTTACGTAAACGAAACCAGTTTACCAGTCTCGAATTTCGATACCTCTTGATCTGAGCGCCGAAAGGAAAGAAAAAGAGCTGGTACGGCTGATGGATACTGTAGTTGAGAAGATAGGAACCATAAAGTTGTTTAGTTTATATCTATAAGTAACTATAAACCATTGCTAACGAAATACGATCCTGAGCGAGATTCGGTTACACATGTTTTGAACTGCCGTATCTAATATTTACGATTTTTGTAAAAAATTGATAGTAAAACGGATTCAAAAAAAAAAAAAAAAAACCCAGTATATTATGGTCTACTTTTTTTGCCACTAAGTACAACTTATATTGAAAATCTTGATTAGTTAATTTTTAATCGTTTCAGTCAATTTTATTATCCACAATATAGGTATAGTAGTTATTAAATAAAAACAAAACAAATTTGTTTTTTTTTTCCTGACATTATACAATTATTAAGAATGCTTCTCAGAAAATCAAAAACAGACTTTCTTACTCACCAACTAGACCCGAAATTCAACAAAAAATGTTACTTGAAATTTTTAATTAAAATAAGATTTCTGGTAGAACCCAATACATTCCTCGCTGCGCTTAGAATCTAAAAAATAATGTGAAAATCACGTCAGGTTTAAATAATTTTAATTAATAATGATTATGTGTAAAGCTTAAACGACTTTCGTCGTATATCGAGTATTCGATTAATAGTATTGTTCAAAATTAGATATTGAGACGCGCGTTCTATTGCGAGTCGTTTAAATAGTCTACAATATTTTAATTATAATTATTATTACATATTACGAGTAAAACTAGAAAAGCAATAATTCGATATCAAAAGCGGTGGTTTCAAATTTATTTCTATTACGCCGGATGAATTTAGAGGCGTCGATACAGTTTTTTTTTCTTTTGCGGGCTGAGTGTAGTTTTCAAGCAGATCAAACTTGAAAATTTACCGAACCATATAAAACCAGATACAGATACTTTTGAAACTATTTCCATAGATTATAGACCGCATCAAAATAAATAACAAAACACAGTTTAAAAATTATAAGATAAAAAATAATCGATTAATTTACCCATGGAAACCAGAAGGTTGAATTTTAGTAAACTCGAAGAAGTCGAATGTGGCAAAAAAAAAAGTAAATAGAAATAACCTAAGCTACACTCAGAATTTAAAATACAAAATATTATACGGATATATACTTCGTATGATTGATGGAGGACCTCTATTGTAGGTGGGAAGTTGGGAAAGCACGTTAATGAGGGAAATTTAATATACATCTGTACGCGAAATTAATTTTTGTTTACTAAAAACGATTCTGAACTGAATTCGGTTATACTTGTTTTAAAAGATCATATATTTACAATTTGAAAATAATAAATTTCGTAAATTTTCCCGTTTTTTTCCATTTATTATGAAAATAGCTAGGAAAATCAAAAAACGACATACTTACAGTACCACTTGAGCCAAATTTTCTTTCAGAAACAGTGCTATACTTGAAAATCGGAGTGAAATTGTTGGTAGAAAAGTTGTTTACAGAGAAAAAAAAAATAAATATATATCATTGTATATAACCAATACATTCCACGTTCCGCTCAGAACATTAAAGTAAAAAAAAATATAATATAAATTTAAAAATAATCAGATACACGTACATATATAAATATGAAATAATCCATCAGATTAGTATAATTAAATTATACATTGAAATTACATGCTTATTCATTTGAGTATAGGATCCTCGTTGTTAACTCGGCGTCGTCGCCAAAATTAGGCGGAAATTCTTTGATATTTTTGTTATTTCTGTAACATTTTGAAATTTTACAAAACTTGTTTTGCAATAAAAAATTATATTAGGTTTACGAAAATTGCGCAATAGTGTAAAACAAAAGCAAAAATAACGGGAAGAAACAATAAGTCAGCGAACGTAAATGCTTAATTTTATAAGCTCCACATATGGGAAGCATTTTATGAACGAGATATGATATTTATCGCGATTAAATTAAAAACAATAATACGCGCATAAACCATTACGATAATCCTGTGCCGAAGTTAACGAACCGTGTCACGGCTTTTCTCGGAACTATATAGAGAACTTTTAGTTGTTTTTTATTAATACGGTGGAAATTTAATGGAAACGGACCTTGTAGTTGTGTTAGAATTTAAATTAAAAATCGTGTATAAATGTTAGCAACAGTGTGTATAACCCGTTATTTTATTAAATAACTAGTTACCTATTGCATGCGAATCTTTATTATGCTCGTTAATATATGAATTACACGATTTTACTAGTTAATATATAGAATACGAATTGAGTTATCGCCAATTCACGTAATTTAAAGTCATCGTATGTAACCAGAACTGGAGTATTTATGTGAATCTTGTGAAAAAAAAAAAAAACGAAAAAGTGAGAAATAAAAGTTATCGGGACAAATCCAACGACATCTTCTGAAATAGTAGATGTAAATTAGGTCTTATTGATTATCAAAGTCAAGCTAATGGTGAATATAAACATGATATAGCTTTTTTGTGTGAGTTATTCAGTTTATTTTTTGAAACAATCTGTACAAAAACATTAATACAACCATAACTAAAATAACATTAAAATCAAAAAATTGATAAAATGAAATTATACTTTGATATAAATAAAACAAGTGTTTCCGAAAATCTGTCGTTCTCGTGGTTACACTTTAAAACGAGAAAACGATAACTTTGTAATATCAAAACCTCGTATCCGCATAACTTATTTCGGCAAATAACACGTGACAATTGCTGTATTTTTCGTTTGTTTTTAAAACACATTAGGTTATTACTTAGCGCATTTACAGATCTGTAAACCAGATTGGATGTTGCTCAAACGTTCTGTATCATTTACAGACCTTTAAACTAACTATTTACAAACCTGCACCTACTGACTATAATTTACAGAACCAAATTCGTATCTGTAATTCTTCGCAAAACGATTTACAAATCGATATTATCATTTTATCAATGTTATATTATTGCCGAAATTTCTGATTCTTTTTTTTTTTTTTTAATCTATATACCTATTTAAATAAATTAACTTAACTTAAATTATATATTTGCTATCGCCATCATCATCAAGTGATGAATTTATTATTGAGGTGATGGCCATATATTACCGTGGCCAAAATATATCCAGCCATCCGGGATAGATCAAATCCACTGATTTTGATGATGTAGATTTTATACAACGATTCAGATACTAACCTAATGGTTAATAACAAAATAATAAAATGTGTTTTCTTTTTTGGCACAAAACGCCACAGACCATAGTTTTATTACTTATCAGTTATAATTAATCAGGGCTCGGTTATTTACTCGAGTAAGATTACCGTGATTCGGGGGGCCTATACCGGCCTATATCATTTAATTGAAGATTCCTGATTGTTCTGTAAAACTGCAAAAACTGAGATACATACGGTTGTTGCAAAATAAACGAAAATTCCTATCACACCACGTCGTATAGATAAATGCTTTAGAAATGGTATCAAATAAAAACAACAAAAAAATAAGTTGGTTAATAAAATTTTGTCTAATCGAACAAAATATAATATTTTATTTAACTCGATTTTTCAGTTTTGCCTCAGCTTTCTTGTCGTTGGATCGTTTACTATAACTGTCTTTAATACTAATCTTTGAGGTACAAGACGTCGATTTGTTTTTATTGGAGACGTCTTTAGACGTCTTAGATGTGGTTTTGGCAATCGGCTTTTCGGTTGTTGGTATCGGCCGCGGCACGGGTGCCGATTTCAATATTTCTCCTGGTGGCGGTTTAAAGTTGTTGCGGATGGTTTCTGCAGGTGAACTTTTCGACGGAGAACCACCCGAAAGCTCGGTTTTAACATCCTGTGTAAAAGACGATGTCTCGGCTGCAGGATAGGCTTGCGGGGAGTAGTTAATAGGCTTCACATTACACATTTTTGACGGTCCTTCGGATTTAAGATCACATTGATTTGTGACCTTTTCTATTACACCGCACACTCGCAAGATGATCGTAGAAAGTTTGTTACATAGTTTTTCGACCGATTCGGCGTCGTTTGGAATCAATTCGTTTGGACAAGAAGATGATGGTACGTTTTCGGATGTATTAAGAGGCGGAGAACAGCTGTTTGGCATACCCGGATACGTTGAAGGCGTTTTCGGTTTCGGACATTCCGATAATATTTCACAATTTTGATTTTCTACATTGCCGCATGTCCTTATACTTTCATTAGATTCGTTGCAGCATTTCGGAGCCGCAGAAGCCGCATCGTAGGTCGTCTTTAACTTGTCGTTCTTGCCGAAACCCAATAAATTCGCCATGTACGAAAATATTCCGAAAAAATATCCATCGTTCGAATATGTTGTTTTGTGTTTTACACAAAGTTCACAGATGTAAGCGTTATTCATTTAAATTTTGCTATTATCGTAAAATGTCGGAATTTAAAATAATTTTGGTTAGTATTGGTCACATATAATTTAAATTAAATAGTGTTAGGTTTATCGTTGCAGAAATTGTATTGTATACCTAGTATATTATATAGTTTCTATAGTAACGTGATATCATATAATTGGTAGTTTTTCGATGCAAAACAATAGTGTTAAAAAAAAAAATAAACAAATTTTTACAAATGGCTATACTTAGGGTTTTGTAGAACAGCACTAGAGGATGGCATAGCAATTTAAGATAATATAGCTATGTACTTATGGGTAATATACAAAACGGAAAAAGAGTGAAAATAATTCTAACAATAATGTATTTAAATTTTTGGTGGAAAAAGGTTTTTTTAAAATTGCTTCTTGTATAGTTCAAGAACAAGGCTGATACCGTTATGTGCGACTATTTTAGACGAGAAGTTGCAAAAAGAAATAGTGGATTTAATAAAGAGTTAACTAATTTATATCTGTGTGCAATCATATTGCTAACGAAAAACGATTCTGTGTACTGTAAAGAGTACTTTCAATCGTAATTTTTACCTAGAGGTAACTTATAAATTTACGAAAACTAACTCCGAAGAGTGGCGGATTTTCCCCATTTATTGAGAAAATACAATGAAAATAAAAAACAATCTCAATGCGCCAATAACTGATCGACAACGTCACAATAAATTGTCTATGAAGTTCTCGATTGAAGTAAGATTTCTGGTTTACACACACACACACACGCACACACACACACACACATACACACACAGACGCGTCATATAAAGTTAATCCAATGTACGCATTCCTGGCTTCGCAAAGAATTTAAAATACCGGTCGTAATGGAGGTGTACAATATAATGGTTAACCGTGGTTATCATTTATGTTGTTATATAATACCCTATTATGTAATCGAATGTAATTTTTTAATAATTCTGCCGCAGTGGGACGGTTTTTATATTATTGTTCGACTCTCGGCGGGCACCGCTCGCCACTCGCCCTCTCCCACTGAACTGCACGGGTCAAATGCGCCCCTGGAGCCGAACGACTATAATGTTTTCTAATAATATCGTATGCGTTGATTATTGTTATTCGATTATATTAATATTATTAGCCATTTCAATTGACATGACAATACGATCGTAATAATATAATGTAAGGATATAACCGATCCGTACGGGAAAAAAAATATGAATGCAATCTACTAATCTGATACGTTATAATATACTGTGTATTAATCATTGTGAAATATTACGAATAATTCACATTGTTATACATTTATAACATAATAATATGATGTCTGTAATAATAATAATAATTATAATGATAATTTACAACGCAACCGATACCGACGACACTGTACGGGGGAGATAACAGAACACGACTTTTAATAGTTGTACAGAGTACGACACCGGCTCTGTACGTACGAGATTTATCTTTCGGAACACGGCATTTTCGATTCTGAGCGAAACGAGGAACGCATTGGTTAAAACCGATAAATCTGTTATGTGTTCATTGTGTGTATTAACGCTATTGCGTGTGTTTGTAAACAAATATCGTTCTGATCAAAAAACATTAAAACGACATTCATGTAGGTGACACGTTTGATCAAGTTAGTGTATCAGAACGGTCGTTTTTGGATTTTTCTCGTAGTTCTGTTGATAAATGAGAAAACCTGGCGTTTTTCATAAATAATATTCGTTGATTTTTCTACCCTTTGTCTGCGACGCGAAGGAACAAGCTGACCGTTTGGGAGACAAACGATCTCTTAAATATTGCGATACGTTCGTACACGGGAGTACTGTTACGATAATATAAACGTTGTAAACGATTGTAATTATCGATTATCTGCACCGGCGTTCGACTATATTACGTTATTATTTATAGGTTTTTAGATTCTGAGCGGAGCGAGAAATGTATTGGTTATACAATGGTGTTTATTTTTTTTTTCTCCGGGCAACTTTTCTATCGGAAATTTCGGTCCATTTTGAAACGTAGCACTTTTTTTTCGAAATCTGACCGGGGTCGTACGTTTAAAGAGGTAATTTTCAGGCCAGCCGATTCAGTGAAAAAAGTGATTTCGCCCCGAAAAATCGGACACGTCCCGTCACAGCCCCCGGGTCTTCAATTGCCCACTAAAATGTATTTCGCGGCCGACAATATGCTCCGTACTCGGCCGAGCCGCGGCCCGGGTTCCGCGCGCTCGCGTTTCCCACGTTTTGTGCGCGCCGGGAATCGGGATATCCCGGCGCGGTATCCGTCGGACATTGTCAACGGGCGCGTGCAAACGCCGCCGTACGGAACGTGGACGTAATTATACCGCGTATCCGTACGGCGCGCGCGTTTCGCATCGGTTGGCCGACTTTTCGGTTGCACAATCCGAAACGGTCCGGCGGCGGCGGCGGGTGACGTTGGGTCGTTTGACACTGATGTTCCGGTTCAGTTTGTCCGGAAGGAGTTTACAAACACGCGCGCGCGCGCGGCCTTGGACGGAATTTCGGCGTCTCTCGCACGCGCGCACGCACGCACACACACACACACACCAGCCAGCCAGCCAGCACAGCCAGCCAGCCAGCCCAGCTCTTCGCCCATTATATTGTTATTGTTGTTGTTATTATTATTATGTTATTTATTATCGTTATTGTGTTGTATTGCACTAATCAACCGGCGGCGGCGGCGGGAAGGTCTTTTCACTTTCCGAACGTATACCCCGGCAAACCGGCAAACAGAGCGGAACCCGTCCTACCGTTCCCCTCCCTCCCCCCCCCCCCCNCCCCCCCCCATCCGCGGAAAACAGCGCCCGGCGCGCGCCGAACTGCAGCGCCGAACGACCGAACTGCGGCTAGATGTACGGGCTAGGTCGGGCTTATCGGCGCACCGAGACGACAATATCGAGTCCCGTCCGTATTTTACACTGACCTGACCTATACTCGCTCGGACCTCTGGATACCGACTCGACTCGGCCGCATCCGGGTTCCGTGCGAAAACGCAGAATTTGAATTTATGGACACACTTGTTCCGTCTCGGGATTTTATAACTGACACTAATTCCGTTCGGTGTGATTCGTTTAATTATACGAGTTCCGTTCCTTTTTCGCGTTTTTTCGCTATATGTGTATTTATAAAACGCACACAATTTACGACTACGGTAGCAATTTTATATTGTTTAGATACAATGCGTTCGGTTATCGCACTATAAATAATCGAATATAATAATAGATATAGTTTTATTTAGATGTATAAAGATGGGCAATACTATTGAATTTAAGAGGTCGTTGGAACGGAACTCAGATGCAGCCAACTCAGCCCCAATCAACACGGTCCGAACACGCTCGAAGCGGTTCTCGCGTCGGGTGCATCCGAATTGGTTCCCATATTAAAAACGTACTTTATGAATGGTGAGCCGAATCGGTTCCCATTTGTAACCTACGTTTAAACAGTTAACACAATAAACGCGTATAGGTATAATGTAGTACATTTTGAAACTTTTATTTAACTTTTATCATACCGCGGCGGGTATTTTACAGTTAAGGTAATAAAATAATGTTGGATCGGCGTATTGCCGAAACACCGCGATCGATTAGGATAACGTCAATCCAACTGGATATATTATGTATCCGCGTGGCTACATAAAATACAGAATGTTTCTAGTATAAAATGTAAGTAGTTTTAAGGTGACAGTCCTACGCCTGTAAGAACGGAAAAGGCAGTACGCGTATTTGACTACCTTACTGCGAACAGTGGGAACCAATTCGACCAGTAGTGGATGCGTGACAAATTTAAATGGAAACCGTTTCGGCTCTTTTTCATAAAATGTCTTTTTCAATCTGAAACCAATTCGGCCAAATGGAAACCAGTACGGATACATCCCTCGCACCACTATAATAACCATACCGTCGTCTAGTACGTGTGCACTTAGGGGTACAATTTTGTTTGCGAACATCGACGTGTCCCTTTCAAAACCATTTATGTTCAGAACATCAAAAGTTTAAATTGAAATCGGTGCCAAAGACATCGACGTATTTGGAAAAACATCGTTAATTTGAAATATTGAAGAATTAATTGCCCTTTGCCTTGGGACATTCAGTACCCAAACCCCGAATATAAACTACGTAGCCATTTAGCCTCTAGAAATCATAATTTGTCCGATTGTGTGTAAGAACATCGAATTTACATCGCAGATTATGAGCAAACACCGGTAAAGCTTTAACATTTATGCAAAATATCGAAACTAAACCGTCAATCTCAAACATCGATTAATTTAGCTACATTAATGTTTTGTTACGATCCCTAGTTGCATTCCTCTTCACTCTCGTTGGCCTACCGGAAAAGTTATGAACGCATACAACTCGCACGGGTGACCGTGGTCTGATTGTACAAATTTAAATTTAAAAAAAAAATCTATTGTTCGGAGCGATTCACCGAGAATAACGTCATTTGAAAACGTCGATACGTTTCTGAAAATACAAATACTCCAAATAGTTCACGAAAATTAACAGACTATAACGTGATAGCGTCATACGAAACAGTATTTTCGTTTGCGCTCGTGATATGGAAACGTCAGTTGCAAATAACAATTTATACGAAGGATATCCTGTTGTATTGCCGCAATGCACATAAAGTTATTATTTTTATTTATTTTTTCAAGAGAATATTTCTATTTCAATATCAACAACGGTATATACTTTGGACGATTCGCAGAACTTTAAAAATCAAGAGAGTGGATATACGCGAAACAAACGGAAAATCCACGTGTTCATTTAAAAACTTCGAATCCCCGAGGCACGGATTTACCACGCTCAAAATTTACCGTAGTTGATTTTTTTTTTTTTTAGTACATCGAACACGGTATCTATACGTATGATAATAATATTGGAATACACGAAACAACTATCGTAGTAT